GTTCTCAGGTCAGATCTGCATTTCCCATAGGAATGCATTGAAAACCGTTTGATCCATATCTGCTTTTTTCCGTCCATAGAAACTAATGGGAAGCTGCTATTCCGCCTTCGACTACCAGAGGGAGATTTTTGTTTCTTTTTTTCTTAGGTCAAGAAAGGTTCAGGGAAGGCAGGGAAAATACAGTCCAAGCAGTACCAGGCAGTCTGAAGACTGTCTCCCAATCCACTCTCTAAACGCTGGGAGGAGTGAGGAAGCAGACAGGCACCCTTTTCACTGGCCAACAGTTAACTGAAAGTTCAAATTTTGCACTTTCCCTGCCTCCCACGTGGTTTTTTTCAGTTCTTAACTCAAATCTAAGTACTTAAGTCAAGTCAATATTTTCCTATGAGAGTGGTTCTTAAGTCAAAATGTTCTTAACTCGAGCCGTTCTTAAGTCAAGACCCCACTGTATATCATTACTGTTGCTCCAACCATGCCAGTAACTTTCATTGTGCTATGTGTATTAATGCAGTGCCAATGTCAAGAAAGTATGGGTACATTCTCTAGCTTCATTTAATTGTCAATTCTGATACTGTAGCTTGGAAATATTTAGAAAAATATAGAAGAGAGAACCAAATACTACTTCCCTCACCATTTAGGACTGATAAAATAATGGCATAAAAACCTGAAAATTTGTTACCGGTGGCCAGAAAATAGATGGAAATATTTTTCAGCTTTTTCTAGTGACCTGTTTCTAGTGAATTCTTTCTTTGCCATTTAGGATTGAAAAGAGCACGGAAAATGCCTCTAAAACATACCTTGAAATACTCTTTAAAAATAATAATTATTGAAGATAACTAGAAAAAGGTTATTTGTTGTACTTCAGAGTAACTTTGGACCTACTCACTATGTTGCTTTTGAAATGTAATTTACTTACTCTATTGTTGCCCCAATATTAACTTGCCACAGGTAACTATAACTAGTTACTTTCATATTCTGGTAATGCCTAACTATGTATGACTTAAAAGCTTGGTGAGGACAACAGTGCTTTGTATGAAGTACAGATCTGAAAAAAGGCAGGATAGTAACATTAAAATGAGCTTGTGGGAATCCAGATCACAGCATAAAGCAGGGAGAAAGGGAATTCAAAAAGGAAAGGCTCAGCTTTAAAGCTCCTCCTCGGCAGGCTGTGTTTGGGTGCATTTAAGCAAACTATTCCCTGCCAAAGGTATTTCAAAATGTTCTAAGAAGCTATAAATATAAGTGTAGAATACTTGAAATACTCAAAAGGGCTAGGAAGTATACATAATTGCCCTAATCCTCTTGCCTAGTTACAATGGTATAGCACAAATGGCATAACTGTTGGAGGTGGACTGCCTCAAGTTAAGAAATTACTGTAGACTTTATCAGTTACATACTGAGTTGTACAAAAACGTAAATCATTTGTGTAACTGCATATGAGGATTTTGGCAATTGCATTATCCATATTGTGTCATAGAGCTCTTTGTCTTCCATTATTTCTTTAAATATCTGTGACAGTCACAGATATTTAAAGAAATATATTCAAGCTCTCATCTTTAGACATGCTACCTGTTTTCCTTCAGAGCACATCTGTATTTTTCTAAGATAAAGTAATCTCCTTACCAATATCACATAGCTTTAAATGAACTGTAATGCATGTTTACAGAAAGGCTTTGGAAATCCCCAAAGACTGATGCTGTAATTAATTAATCTACTCTTTCTTCTTTGCAGATCTATTTGACTGTTGTTTCTTCTTCAGCTGAAAGCATATGGCAATTCATAAACTGTGATCATTAATTTAGATATCAATAACCCTTCTCAATATTGATATCCAAAATGTTACAATGAATGCTTTACTATGAACAGATGACTCTAATTACTCCATTTCCCCTTGGTCATAAAGTAATTGTCAATAAAAGCAATTAGGTTTGCCTTCCAGAGACTTCTTTCTCCCTTGTATTCCCCGTGTGTGCAATAGATCTCTTTAGCGCTCTATAACTTTTCAGTCTTTGCAGTCATTTATATCAGCTAAGTGTTTTTATTCTCTTGCAGTCCAATCTATATCTCCATATCCATGACTAGGTTCTTTCTTCAACAAGCTCTCAGGGTCAAATCTAGTGCTAGGAACACAAGCTAAAAAATCTGTTCTTTTGGCAAGACGTCTTCAAGATGTTGGAGATATCCACTAGTGTGGTGTTTGAGATTGACATTCTTGGTGGATTTCATATTGTTCAGATTGTTTTGTTTCGGCCAGTTCAGGGTTTAATGGGTTCCAATTGTGACTGTTTGGTTGTCTTAAATCAGACTGGGCTGAAAGTACAGCAGGGTATCTGGTTTTATATGTAGGGTTAGGGGAAAGTAGTATCTGGACAGAGAACTAGTACTGACTGGCTGGTCATCACACACAGGTCATTTTTAGGTTTCATCTTTAAGACACTTGTAAACTTGGCAAGTGTGTAGGACTGGCTTTGTCTACCCTCAAAAACTGATGGATCTGAGTATTTATGATCTCTCTGAAGAATTTTCTTGGTTTCATCCAGCTGTCACATCACGAATATGGTTGTCTCAGAATGCTTAGAGGGAGTGCTTACCCCTGCTCCCCTTATCACTGCTTTCTTCATACAATCAAAAATAAGTCTGAAGAGGAAAAATTCCTGCTTACATGAAGACTGTATGTACAAGTATCCCATAAAACTGGTTTCTGTGCTTGTATGGGAAGCTTAAATGTGAACAAGAATGTCTCCTCTTTAGACCTGCTGTCAATTGCATGAAGAAAGAGACAATGGAGGGGTGGTAGGACTCATCATAAAATGACTGATGTATGAACTCTTCACAGTGGAATTTTAGCTGTTGGCCCAACTCTAATAATAATTGCTTGCCATCAAGTCAGTTCTGACTTATGGTGAACTTCTCCATGGTTTTCTAGGTAACACAACTTCTGAGGATTTCATTGTTGGACTGATTTCTCTGTTTCTGGTCTGGGTGAATGGCTGTGAAGGTTTTAAGCATTGTAAACTGCCCAGAGTAGTGGCTTGACACTAGATGGCAGTATATAAATGTAATGATTACAATGTATTGATTATCAATCAATCAATCAATGGGCTTCCATATCACGCTAAATTACCACTCCCATCATGGCTTACCATTTATACTGGTTAGACTAATGGGAGCTGCAGTCACTTGTCTGGCAAACCATTACTTTCTGATCTAGGCCTACTAGCAGATGGATAAATTAACAGCACACTTGACTTTAAATAGTTCCCTCAGAGTACAGTCCGCTCTTAGTTGGTATGCCTGAGAGCCACCTTGGTTGGGTCCTCTCTGAGGAAAAAGCAGGGTATAAATAGCAAAAAGATGATGACAATTAAAAAAATACATTATCAAAACATAAATGCTGGATTAGTTCAAGGCCTATCTAGTCCAGTTTTGTATCCCCAGGAACCAGCCAGCCACCTATGGGGAGCCTACAAACAAGAAGGGAGTGCAGCCCTCCCTCTTTATTTTTGCACTTGACGTACACTACGGAAATATGAAGAACACCCACTTAGTATAAATTCAGAGGAAGTAGTGTTAGTGTGGTGAAAGGAGACTAAAACATAAGAGTACCTCATTTATTCTCCCCCCCACCCCCAATTTGAAGTGTTTCATTGGCTAATTTGACAGGATTGCAAACAAAGTTGTTTTTCAAATTAAACATATCACTCTCTTAACCTGATAGATTTGCTGAAATATCACCATCAGGAGTGGTTTAATATGACAAGGATGATCCACATTTCTTTATAGCATGTTCCCCTTTCTTGCTCTAGTGTCAGGTCAGAAGCTTCCACTCTGCATTTAGTTTAACTCAAGTTTACAGTGTCATATGAACCCAAAATGATCAATTAACGTAGCGGAAAACCAGCTAGCTTCATAAACTGAATTTCTTTCCTCCAACCATAGTTACAGCTACATTTCTCTAGGTGTGAACAGAATAGTAAGCTGTTGTAATAGTGAAAGAGAGCTTCCAAACGGTTTCTAACAGATGCACCACAGAAAACCAAACAATGATTTAGATTTATATGTGGACTAGCCCAATGTCTTAAGAAGCACCAGGACCAGAAAACTATCAGTCTAACATTATTCTCCATCTCCAATGATCAGCCAGAGATCTGATATACATTATCAAGGTGTGACCTTGATAGTTTATACTCAGAGGCAAACTGTCTCACATCATTATCAAGGTGTGACGTTGATAGTCACCTCCCATTGATCTTTGCAGTTTATACTCAGAGGCAAACTGTCTCACACTATAAATGCTATATATTGGTTATGTTATTGTTGTAATAGCTCCCTAACTTACAGCAATCAGAATAGGATTTTCAAGGTATGTGAGCTATTCAAGATATAGTTTACCATTGCCCATCTCCCAGTGAGTTTCCATGGTCAAGTAAAGATTTGAACCCCAGTCTCCCGAGTCCTGATTTGACACTTCATTCACGACACCATTTTGGCTCTCAGAGTAATATTAGGCTAAGCAAGGGATGCGTTTTTTTACTAATAAAGTAGCAGGCAAGATTTTGTTCTTATATGGTGTTATTTCTGATTTATGACAACCCAACAGGGTTTATTTATTTATTTAAAATATTTTTATCCCACCTTTCTCAAGAAAACTCAAGGTGGCTTACTATATTAAAACAAACATTACAAACTTTTGTTTTAAAAAAAGTAGCAGCTGCAGACCTTGTAGACAGCCAACACATATATTCTGCGCATTTCCACTACCAAGTGGACATCTGAACCTGAATGTCCTGAGTACTAGTTTTACAGTCTCCCCACTACAGCATTCTGGATAGAGATGCTAGTCAAAACCAACCAGCTATAGCTAGAAAAGGTACAGCTGAAGACTACAAAGGTACCAATTTATCTGTTGGTTATTCCAATAGCAGAAGAGGATGTGCTCTCAATCTCTTAAACTCTGGTATTGGTGGGGAACAAGCAGTCTAATTAAAAGATATGATTTTGAAGAGGGTGCATTTTAGTTTCTTAGAAATCAATTACACCAACGTATGGCTAGGATGGGAAATTTGTGGCCCGTAAGAAGTTGCTGGGCTGCAACTTTCCTCCGTTCTAGCCAGCACAGCCAATGAGGAAAAAGGATAACGGTTGTATTCCAACAATATTGAAAGGCACAAGTATCCACCCCTACAATAAGGTACGACAGTCAAAGATCAGAATAGCTAATCTTCCTCCATTGTATGTTTATTGTCAAGGGATGTTTCACTAAGTATTATTCTCAAGTTAAGATTCCATTGTGGAATGAGTTCAAATAGATCACACATTACTAGAAGTAGATGAAAAAATTCTCAAGCAATTGCTAGTAAGCAACCAAAAAACAAAACAAAAAACCCCCAAAATTCAGGAAGATTACTTTCAAGAGTATTTGATGTTAGCTGATTGAGGGAAGAGTGTCTTTAGAATGCACTACAGACTTAAAAGTTCGACAGGTGGTGGCTTTAAAGGGACTTTTCCTAGTGTGAATCTTTTGGCTTCAAATTGCTTCAGTTCTTCAGCAGAAAGGTCAGCTTTTGATGTAAACAACGTTTCTGATGTAAGGCTGGCTGAAGTTTCTGGAGATGTCAATGAGGCATTAACTCCAAAGACATTTGCTGGCTGTCCAAATGGAGTGTTCCCTGTAGTTAAAGTGGAGGTGACGACTGATGTGCCAAATCTCGAGGCAGATGTAGTGTCTGAAGAACTGACAGGAAAGGGTTTTCCAAAACCTGAAAAGCCAGGAACGCCAGGTCCACCAGAATTTGAACCCATTTTAAATGAAAAGGAAGCTGGAGATGAAGCCATCGGGTTCCCAAAGCCAACAGAATGGGAGACAGCAGGGGTGGCCGTGGTACTCTGAGCGCCGAATGCAGGTGTGCTTCCAAATGCAGGTGTGCTTCCAAATGCAGGTGTGCTTCCAGATGGGACACTGGCTTGCTCAGAAGGCGATTTAAAGGAGAAGGCTGGAGTACTCCTCTGTTTATCCACAGGAAAAGCTTCAAGTTTAGCACAAAGAAAAGCAACAGTTAGTTTTCCAATATTAGGATCAAAGAAACAGCAAAGAAAAGTGTGCTGCTTATATACTGCTCCATAGTGCTTAAAGCACTCTCTGGGCAGTTTACAATGTTTTAATTATAATTATATAGGCTACATATTGCCCTCCCCCCATGAGCTGGGTACTCATTGTATTGAACTCTGAAGGGTGGAAGTCTGAGTAACTACCTTGAGTTGGCTGTCAGAATCCATTGGTATGGAACTCTGACCGTGGGCAGAGGTTTGGCTGCAATACTGCAGTTTAACCACCGCACCAGCAGCAGACAAGGAGGAAGTCTTGGCTGTAGGAACTAAGCACCAGATCTTGGAAATGTTACTTTTTCTGACTACAATTCTCAGCATGTTGACTATCAGATTGTGAACACTTGTAGTAACTTTCTGAGGTTTTGTTAAGTACACACACATATATATACACACAATATTCTCTTAAACCACATTAAATCCTTACTTGATGCTCCAAATGTGGGCGCCTGTTGTCCTCCAAATCCAAATGCAGGTGGTGGTTGGCCAACTGCATTCTTAAATTCAGATATCTTGCAAAACAAAAATAAAGGAAAAAAACTCTTTGTTTTACAAGGGAAAAAAAGTTCTATCATTTCAGGCTCAATTCCGCCCCCCTTCCTCAATATCAGCACAAAACATCCATTACCATCACTATAATTTCAAGTTTATTTTGGTGTAGCAAGAGCAAAGTTTCCCACTGTGTTTGTTTTTGCTGATCAATATCCCACACCTCAAGTAAACAAATGTTAGAATTGCCAAAAAATAAAACATAAAAATGTTGATGGAACACCTAGGTCTCAGGGAGCGGCACTGTAATTCACATTATCCATTGTAATGTGAATTACAATGGGTTTGGCAAAAAATTGACTGAAAAAAGTAGATGTGGGAGAAGTATTTAAAGAGAAAAATGGTCTGGGAATAAAGAGTTGGGAGACTATGATCCATGGCACGCAGACTCACGCTGCATGGAAAAACCACCAAGAATTATGCTATTTCACAGACAAGGCATCAAGAAATGGGCTGAGGCAAAATGAAACAGGAGCTATATTTAGAGAGGAATGGTGAGATACTGCAATACCTATCAGTTGTACCCAGCATATCTAATGGAACGATTAGAAGGGTAATCACACCATATCTGGAAGGCTACCCATCCCCTCCTCCTAATATACAGTGGTGCCTCGCTTAGCGATTGCTTCGTTTAACGATGAATTCACTTTGCGATGGGTTTCTTTGAGGAAATTTCCCCATCGTTTAACGATGTTCTCTATGGGGGAATTTCACTTAACGATGTCCGTTTTTGCTCATTTAAAAGTGTCTTAAAATGTTTGAAACCTGTTTTAAATGCTTGGATCCGGTAGTGCACCTTCTGAAACATGTGCAAACTTAATTTGGTTTTGTTCTGAGTCTTCGTTAATTTTTGGTGATTTTTTGTTTTCCCCATTTAAATCCATTGAATGGACTGTCCGTTCAATGGTTTTCAATGAGGGGAAAAAAATCACCAAAAATTAACGAAGACTCAGAACAAAACCAAATTAAGTTTGCACATGTTTCAGAAGGTGCACTACCGGATCCAAGCATTTAAAACAGGTTTCAAACATTTTAAGACACTTAAAAACGAGCGAAAACAGACATCGGAAAGGGCTTCAAAAGCACTGACGCCGGCTTCAGTGCTTTTGAATGGCTTTCCCTTGGGGGAAACATTGTTTCACTTAGCGATGTTTCCTATGGGGATTTTCGCTTAAGGACGGCAATCTGTTCCCATTGGAACGGATTAACCAGTTTTCAATGCATTCCTATGGGAAATGGTGTTTCGCTTAACGTTTTCCCATAGCGATGGTTTGTTTTGAACCAATTAACATCGTTAAGCGAGGCACCACTGTATCTTCTAAGAGCTTGGAAAAGCTGCTGTTCAGATGTCAGTTTCCAGAATACTCTAGCCAGCTGCTGCTGAAGACATTTTGGGAGCTGTTGTCAAAAAAGCACTGTTGGCAAGCTTTAATATTCAAAATCACTAGTAGGAAGAGAGCTTTCATAGGACTACCAAAGCAAATGGGGAAAAATGACATGAAATTCTATATAAGCTTTGAGAGCCACAAGACCCTTCAGTCAGGCATGGTATTTTAAAAAAGCAAAACTGTTTGCTTCTTCTGTTCTACTACAGATGGGGCAGAATGAGGACATACAGACTTTTACCAGTTCCATTTCCCTAGTGAGTTTCCATGGCTGAACAGGGATCCGAACCCAGGCCTGCCGACTCTTACCTCCTACACCACACTGGGTATCCTGAATGTGGACACTGGACTCTATTTATTGGCCAGCATGGCTGCCTCTATCTACAAGCTTTGCATCAGCTCTTGATAGCAATGGCTGAGATTAACTTGCTGATCTGGAGAGAGAATACTGTAGAAAATCTGCTCCCCATTCCCTTCTTTAATATTGCCACCATCTTTCAAAGGAACATTTTATTGTACCAATGACAGCACTTGTTATTCAAGAGTTGTTGTTGTGGGAGACTATTTTCTTCCCATAGAATTTTGTTATCATTAATTGTTTTAAGAGCCAACATGACTGAAAATGTATAGATATGGTAGAATAAAAACTAAAATAACAAAGAATTTTTAACCTAGTTTTTCTCACCAATTTGGCTTTAGTAGATGCATTTATATTTTTCAACTCGTGCAATCTAGTTCTCCATTGGGTTAATAACTGCTGGACTGAATTGATCTGAAACAAGAAGAAAAAGAAGATGAGGTCCTTACCAATGAAGCAAAGAAAGCAGAGCATCTGACTGTGATCAAAATGCTTCAGTGGCCAAACTGCTACTGAGAAAAACCATATACACATGCCATGCAATGGTTTTCCTCCTTGTCGCTTGCTGTCTATTGTGTAACTGGGTTTTTGTTGAACCTGCGGAAGCTGGGGAGTGCGACAGCCAGGCAGCAATGCAGGTAGATTTCCTCACGCCACTGCCTGCTTGTGCTGTGCAGAAATCAGCAGGAATCTGGCCATTAAACTCAGAGGCAGAACACCACACATTACTTCTCCTCAATTCAAATATATCTTTCTGAAAAAAAACTTCACTCAAGTATAAACATTCACACTAAAAAGTAGGTAGAGACTTACATAATTCTGTGTATCATTGTTTGCTCTGCAATTATAATATTCAAGACGTAGTTCTTCTGGTAAGAAGTCTGAAAAACCTGAAGGAAGATGAACAATCAAAAGTGCCCCTAGTCCCAAACCACAATACATGCATCCTGCTGCTCTCCCTACAAGTCAAATGTTTGTTTGGATTTGATTCAAATCAAATTGATTAAATCATAATTTAAATTTTAAAAAATCAAACGTTTTTGCTGATTAAAATTTTAAAGAAATTACATTAAAATTGTGATTTAAATCATTTTTTTATAAAAAAAACACTGATTTTTATTCATCCTGCCTGGAAGTCACTCGCACCTTCACATTCATCACAAAGCTTTCAAGAGATGACAATGAGTGCATTAACATGAATGGGCTTCCAGTGTTTGCATGATCAGCAGCTCTGAATCATAATCATGTGAGTACTGTAAAACCACTCTCAGTTACACACCTACAGGTATTTACATATCAATATGGGTAAAGCACAAAAGCCCAGGTGACTTCTGATAGGGATGGTGATGTGACATATGTGCTGAAAGCCATGTAGAACAAGATTAAAAATAAGCCAGATAAAGCTGTGCACAGTGTGGGGAGCTCCTGCCCAAGGCCGTTAGTTGTTATCTGTTTCAGTGAGAGGAAACTCTCCTGGCAGAGAAGCAGCAGCTGCCAGCGAGCGGGTTAACCTACTAATTCTGCCCCTTTCCTTTAGAGTTGGATCATAAGTTCAAATAGTTTCGCTGGCCAATCCTAGTGGTAACCAGTATCCTATCTGAATTCTCACAACATATGGTGTTTTATTAACTTGCTAAGTTAATAAAAGAGTTCTCAAGGCATTGCCTTTAGGCTCCGCTGGCTCAGACATCTGCTTGTTGACTTCTTTGCAATTGCTTTCCTATTGTTCTGTGATCACCCCCATCATTAGTTTTCCTTTTGTTCCGTGATCACCTACAGCACAGACTATAACAACTGAATCTGGCCTTAGTCTCTCACCAATGGCTTCATTTCTCAAACTAACAAAGTGATTTACAATGGCATCAAGAGTGCACTCATAACTTTCAACAAATAGTTCATTTTGTTTCCAAAGTTTGTTATGTTACTTCAAAATGTAGTAGGCAGATTGCCTGGAGACCTGTCCTCTTTCACTTTCTTTCTTTATTGCTCCAAGCTAGTTGTGAATATACATTTGTCCAACTTGGAACAAAACATGGTATTATTCCAACAAATCCGCCATCTCAACTCCATATTTGCCAAGGTAAAAAAGAATGCGTAACTGGGGCCAAAAACCTCTCCAGCTAGTGAACAACACATTTTGGGGAGCACTCAGAATTTCTGAGGATGGTAAAGGACCATTCAGGATTGGTGAACTGTTTACAATCATAGAACTCAGTTATTGGACTCCAGATACTTTAAATATATATATGGGCAAGGAAGTTAAGGACACAAGAGGCTGTAAAATTTCTTCAGCCTGGAGCCAAGATAGTTAAAGTCATAACCTGACAAAGATGCTCTTGAAAACAGTTAGTTACCAGGAATTTCATTGTGTTTCTTCCTGATTTAAATTGTCTATGCATCTGCTTGTCCATAAGCATTGCTGGATTCTTTGGGAGGAGAGATTTGTTTCTTTTGTTTAAGTCACAGGCAGTTCACAACCATAACAGCCATGCTAAATGCTGGGATAAGCTCCCACTACTCTATCCAGGAGCCACCTTTATAAGGATGGTACCAATTATTGTTCCAAGTGTTGGATAGCTCAGGGGTTTAGGCATCTGGCTGTGAAGCCAGAGGTTGAGAGTTCGATTCCCCACTGTGCCTCCTTGACAGGGGCTGGACTCAGTGATCCATAGGGTCCCTTCCAATTCTGCAGTTCTAAGATGATGATGATAGCTGACCTATGATTAGGCATATTACTTCCACCAGTATATTACATACCTACAGCCCTAATATGAATACAATTGTGTAATTGTGCCCAGTAACTATTTACACAATATTATTGTGCATGCATTATATCAGCTGTCACACCTGTTTGTATGGTAGGCAATTCTCAAGTAGATCGGATCACCAAAAAGTGCTTATCTAACTATGAATTGCCTACCTGATAAATGTTAGATCTTCGTTTTAAATGTGCACCCATATAGATACAGTTACATGCAAAGATATACAAATGGGACTGTGCATAAATCTGTAAAATAAAACTTTATGTCCTTTGAGGTCCATTAACAATACTCAGAGAGCCAGTAAACAGAAAGTTAACAGTCCGAGACTCAGGAAGACTTGGACTTAAATCCCCACTTGACATGGAAATTCACCTGGGAATGGCAATGATAAATTATTCCATGAACATCTCAAATAGCTCAAAAACCCTACCAAGGTCACTGTAAGTTGCAAATGACTTCACAGCACATAAGGAAAACAGCAATATTCAGTTGAGAGATCAATTCAGACATGGGGGTGGGGGGAAGCATGCCAGGAAATATTCTACCTGAAATATTAGGCTTTTCTTTCATTGGTGAATAAGTAGAAAACATCCATTGTCCTGAAGACTCCCAAATCTCCATGTCTTTCCTGATTATTTCACTGGATAAAGGATATCAGAAAATCAGAAAGCAAACTAAATTGGACATGTGAAGCAAAATCTATTCAAAACTGGTTTCACATAAATAATCCTTAACCATTACTTTGATGAGTTACATACATCCTGTCTAAAGGATTGCAGTCATAGTCTCTTCAGAACTATTCTTAAAAGGGTGATCCAATTAATTCATTTATAATGTATCAAGATTAAAGAGACAGAAAATGGCAACTTACAGTAACTTCTCTTCTTCATCTTTAATGGCACCATTGCTGAGATTTTCATTGGAGTCTAGAACAGTAAACCTATTCTGTGAAAAGGAACCTGGATCTCTACTGTCACGCCAGTTGGAAGACTTAGAAAAACTGGATGCCTGCACCACACTACTATAACGCTGATTATGGCCGCTCCATCCTCCTCTTCGACTGGAGCCTAAAAATGAAAGATAAGATGATGTGTCAAGTACATGCACATTTATATTGTATGAAGGAAAATTTATCTAACCTCTTCAGAAGAAAAAAGACTATGGAAATAAATATCAGTGCCTTTTCCCCACCAAAATTTATTTCTCGTAAACAAAACAAAACAACTCTCAGGACTAGTACAATGTTCATACTCTTCTGCACCAAGCATGCCAGATTTTAACTATTTCAGTCTGTTTGATCTTGTATGCCAGCCAGACATCTTCTGATAAAGGAAAAACTACAAATGGTGGGCAGCATCCATACTGAATCATACTTGCAGCAGACCCACTGGAATCAATGGGATGCATATTAGCTATGATGAACATAGGCTCCGTTGACGTTAAAGGTGTAGTCTAATTAATTTCAATACTATTTCCAGTATTCCCAATTGGCACCAGGTCTCACTTACTTGTCGAGAAAGTATGTGTATGCACTGTGCTTGCACTGCAGGGACAAAGAGACAGGGGAATATGTTTGGGTGCATCATACTAAATGGAGCAAGGCAGAACTGCCAATGTCACAATGTGAGCCTTCTTGATGAATAAATCCTAGCAGCAGTGCTGCATGGCTTAGAAACAAAGCTCTCCATAGGATGCCAATGACTCTTCCGCAAGTGTTAGCACAAGCATATGGCCTGGAAAAATCCTGGCAAATCATGTTGCTGTTGTTAAGGATGCACAGAATGCCAGCCCTAGCAGGAACTACCAGGCATTTTGTATGGCCTGCCTGGATACCTCTGTAGACCTTTGGTCTAGATGGGCGGGGTAGAAGTCTAATAAAATAAAATAAATCAAAGAATAAATAAATAAATAAAAATACCAAAAATGTCTTCCCACCCCAAGCTGCTGTATTTTTGGATTACCCAAGTTTTGCCCAAATTCTTGGTACATTTAGCTGGGTTTTCTTCATGCCTCTTTCCATAGTCACCTAGCCCAGAAACAGTTCTGGGGTCCCTCCCAAATTATTGCTACCTTTGATCTCAGCTTTCAGCCCAAATCTCTCAAGGATGGGATGCTGCTGACTTGGCAATCTTGTATATAAATATTAACTTATATTCTTAAACACTTTTTGGGAATGGACTTAAGTCAGTTTTAAATGGATTGTTATGCAGTACTGCTTGGACTGTGTTTTTAATATTGCTTACATTTACTTTTCTCAGAGTGGAATTTGTTCCTTTTTAATATTTGTATACTCAGTGTTTTTAAGCTTTGAATATTGTCTTTCAATGATGTAAGCTGTCTTGAGTTCTTTTTAAGAAGACAGGATAAAAATATTTTAAACTAATAAATTAAGCAATCCTTGGATCAGTATACCATGGAGGTACTTAGTAGCCATGACTAAATCTAAGTCCCTTTGAGTATGGTTAAGTCTACTCCAAGTTGGGATCCAACCCATTGGTTCTAACAGATAGTGCTGATGTGGCCGGGGGGGAGGGGGGAAATGCATAAAGTAAGTTGTAGATATTTTCTTCTCTGAACGCCTCCCAGACCACGAGGTTTAGCCACTTCCTTCTACTGCTAACTCAGAATCTGAAAAAAGTTACTTCTGTTGCAAGGCAGCTCCCAGAATCCCCCAAACAAGGCAGGGGATTCTGGTACCTGTAGCCCAAATGATGACTTCTCCAAATTCTTTCCAAAGCATGTTGCGCCTCGGCAACTCAGCAGCAGCCTCGGTCGTAAGGGTTCGCGCGAAAGGGGGACCGTTAACGGCCGTCTGAATGCTCCCTCCCGCCACTTGCCTGAGTTCTGCGAATACGCCTGGTTAGGTCGCCCGTAGCGCGGGTGTTCGTTCCAGCATCTGTCACCGAAGCGGCAGTTCCCTTGTAAGAAGTAGGGGCACACCCCGCCCGCATTTCGAGCCATGGCAGCTCCCGGGACCGGCGCCCCCGGACGCCCACCGCCGGAGCTTCTCACTTCATTTTCCGCCGCCGCTCCCCCGCCGCGGCGATCTCAAGCCAACAAACGAAGCCGCACAAACTCCGCGCCCCGCACCGCAAATGGCCGGACGCGAGCGGCGGCCATGGCGCGCCGCCTGCGTGGCTCAGGTTGATGACGTCCGGCCGGCGGGAGGCCCTCCCGCGCACCGCAAATGGCCGGACGCGAAAGGCGGCCATGGCGCGCCGTCTGCGCGGCTCAGGTTGATGACGTCCGGCCGGGGGGGAGGCCCTCCCCGGCGGGGGCGAAGAGAAAGGCGCTGGTCGAGGGAACGCGCGGGCTTTCGTTAAAGATCGGGAAACGGTTTGGGTATCCTAGTGGCAGGTAGTTAATTTTTTTTCCTTTGGGGCACGAGCGCGGGACATGCATTGAAAACGATGTCACTGAAGACAACGCGGAGGGGCTGTGTCTGTCTCTGACAGCTGGCAAGGTCGGGCGGCTCCCTTTCCCAAAATTGCTTTGAAAGCATCGTGACATTACTTCGCAAAAATAGATCCCAAGAGGAATTGTATGAGGCGATGTATGTACATTAAAACGTATTACGCGACAGCAAATACGGCATCCTCTTACAGGATTGCCAGCGCCAATCCTGAATCTTTCAGCGCGTTGTAAAACAGGGTAACTAACGCTTTGCTCTGCAGATGTAGTAGGGCTGTCGACAGCGCTGTGCAGATGTTTTGGAATTCAAATTTCCCACCTGTAGTAGAAAGGGTTGAAGGTGGTGGGGTACATGGGAAAGACATCCCCCCCTCATCTACATCCTATTTCAAGGGTCGGAAGACAATATTTAAAATATATGCTTGCCTGCCTACCTACAGACGAGGATCAACAGTAAGGGAGAACTCTTGGTGTCACCAGCCCTGCTATTGGAACTTCCTATCTGGCTACATCAGGAATAGTGTAGTACAATAAAGAGACTTAGCCCTAATGCAGCAAGGTTCTGACACACTTCTATTCACTTAGCTTGAAACACATAGTATTTTTATTTATTTATTTATTTATTCATTTGATTTATACCCCGCCTATCTGGTCTACTCGACCACTCTAGGCGGCTTCCAGTATAGGATAAAACACAAGAACATTACATAATCATTTGATACAGTTATAATAAAATAGAGTGAGAATAAAATAAGAATAGAAAAGAAATCAGGTATTGACTGGAGGGAAGGCCTGGATGTACAACCATGTTTTAAATTGGGTTTTAAAGATTCCCAGCGTAGGGGCCGCACGAATCTCTGAAGGGAGGTTGTTCCAGAGGCGAGGAGCCACCGCTGAGAAGGCCCGGTTTTGTGTCTTTTCCTTCCGGGCCTCTCTCAGTGTCAGGCTCCTCAGCCTCTCCTCCTGACTCGCGCGGATGATCCAGGTAGACCTTGGTGGGAGCAGGCGTTCCGCCAAATATCGAGGTCCTAAACTGTTTAGGGCCTTGTAAGTAAGCGTTAAGACTTTGAAATTGACTCAGAAACGAATGGGCAGCCAATGCAATGCAGCCGGAGTTGGAGAAATACGTTGGTATTTTCTCACTCCAGTGAGGAGTCTGGCTGCTGCATTCTGCACCACCTGAAGTTTCTGCATCAGCCTCAAAGGCAACCCCACGTAAAGCGCATTACAGTGGTCTAATCTTGAGATTACGAGCGCATGCACCAAGGTAGTGAGTGCCCCCGTGTCGAGATAGGACCACAGCCGGGCAATCCGCCAGAGGTGGAAGAAGGCGGTGCAGACTACCAACGTCACCTGCGTTTCCATAGTTATTAGGGGAAAATGATATTCTCTTCACATTTTGTAGATTTAATGCCATGTGTTTTACTCAGAAAAGCAGATATATGGAAGTTTCTTGTTTCTTTTAAGGCTCTTTTTGTCTCTGCCCAACCCATACTTTCCCCTTTAAGACTTCACTTTGTAATTATACTGTTGATGAATATGAAAATACACATTCTAGTACCAGTAGCTCAAAGTGTATAAAATATGTACTTCAATATATGTTCAGCCATGCCCTTGAGTTTACATTAGACAATTTACATGATTTTCCCCCCGTTCGTTGTCTTTTAGTTGTGTCCGACTCTTTGTGACCCCATGGACCAGAGCACCCCACCCCTTCCTATCTTCCACTGCCTCCCAGAGTTGTGTCAAATTCATGTTGGTTGCTTCGATGACACTGTCCAACCATCTCATCCTCTGTTGTCCTCTTCTCCTCTTGCCTTCACACTTTCCCAACATCAAGGTCTTTTCCAAGGAGTCTTCTCTTCCCATGAGATGGTCAAAGTATTGGAGCGTCAGCTTCAGGATCTTTCCTTCCAGTGAGCACTCAGGTTTGATTTCCTTTAGAATTGATAGGTTAGTTCTCCTTGCAGTCCAGGGGACTCTCAAGAGCCTCCTCTAGCACCACAATTCAAAGGCGTAAATTCTTTGCCCAGGCCAAACAGCACCTATTAGCATTCATGAAAGGGACTATGGTGCAATGTAGACTGAAAACTGAGTTATCCAGTCATGCTATAATTAAATACGTGCCATCAAGTCAATTCTGACTTATGGGAACCCTATTCAGGGTTTTCTAGATACAGAGTACCTAGTAGTGGTTTACTATTCTCTTCAGGGGGGTATGTTTCTGGGGTTTGTGCATCTCATTCAAGATCATAGAGGCTGACACTTCTACAAGATACAGTGGAGAATCAGACTCCTGACCCTGGTGCTGCCAGGGTCAATGAGCTACCCATTCATACAAACATAGGAGAGGGCAAAACCCCCCAAGACTCCTGTCTTTCATAACTGAATTTTAACAACCATAGCTTGTCAAGCAAGCCATACCTCCTACCTACCTCCCTGGTCACTTGGATGCAAGAGCCCTCTTTTGTATCTGTTTATGTTGCAAATACGTTTTTGAATCCATCATATTCTTGGTTGGGAATTTCCACCCTTCACAACTATGCTAGAAGCATTCAGCAGTTCTGAAAATGTTATCCAACCATCTCATACATAGATGTAATGTGAAGTTTTAGGATCAAAACCTCATTACCTGCAGACTGCAATACAGTGGGGTCTCGACTTACGAAAGGCTCGACATATAAACGTTTCGACTTACGAACCGCTCTCATAGGAAATATGGACTCAACTTACGAACTTAGAATCGAGTTACGAACTCTTTTTTTCCTTTTTTTAAAAGCTAAGTCATCTTCATCAAAACCTCATTACCTACAGACTGCAATATGTATTATAGATCTACAATAATAAGTTACAGTTGATATAAAAAGTTTACACACCTCTGTTAAAATGTCA